AGCCGTCTCCAGCCATTATTATATTTTGTTGTTGTTTATTTTTGAGTGGAGAATGAAACGGGAATTAATTGTTTAACAAAGCGCCAGGTGGACATGAAAAGCAGCTGCCACGAGCTACGTCAGTCGTTATTATTGTTACGGCCCAATGTTTACCACTTTTCTCCCATTCATTAAATATTTAAAAAGAAAGTTCGTGGAACACGAGATCAGGCAGTAAAGGGCTTAAAATTAACAAAACAAAAAGAAAACAGGATGTGTTTATAAAAATCTCTTATGAACACAAATATATCAACTTTTTTGTGTACATTGCAGTTGAGGGATTCTTTTATATCTTAAAGTTTATAAAATAAACATTCATGGTACACATAACTAGAAAGCGCACGAATTAGACGGGCACTAACATAAACGTTACAAACCTGAGGAGAGGATAAATTCGGTATTGTACCTTTATACTTAGACGCCATCTTATAAATTAGTTTATTTTTATTATTCTGTTTTGTAAAGCTGAAAATTCATGCAGATATTCAAGTAATGGAAATTTCAATCATCTTTTTTACCCTTTCAGTTCACTCTGTATCTACTTAACATATATCTATTGTTACGTCTCCGTTTGTTGATTAACGGAACGAAGTTACGGAAAGGACTTGTGTCGCTAAAGTTTCGTCTGTTGCGTCAAAGGGTCACGTGACTTTTGTCACGCCGCCTATTTTCTGGAAGTATCTTGTTCCTTCGTGAATGCCCTAGCATTTACTAGATATATGTTTTTTCTGGTATATATATAAGACGCTCACAACGTGAGGGGACAATAATGTGTGTGTAGATAGTGAGTAATTGAACTGCAGTCAGTAGTATTGTTGACGTTCGTTGATATAGCGTTTGTTTTAGCGCGATTGTTGAAAATAAGTGTATCGTAAAGTTATATTCAGAAAGAATAAACCAGTTTTATTAAGTAAAACATTACATTATAAATGTATCTTCTTCAGTGATATCTTCCAGCCTTCGTCACTGTAAATAATGTCTCTGGTATCTAGTTTACAAATGCGACCTATGTCTTGTTTTTAGTACCAGGTTTACCTGTAAAATACCTGTACGAGATTGTGAACATTTCAGTGAAAATGAAGGAGTTAATTGTCTTACATTTCGGCCATTAAAGCAATAGGAGACAAACGAAACAAAAGTACGTCAATAAAACCCACATTTAATTGTTTATATAGCATACATATGTTATCTATTTGAAATGAAATTCACGTTTTAAACCTAAACAAAACTGCTCATACAGGAAAATAAGAAGGTATGATAAAAAATAACATGAAAAAGTTGACAAATTCCTGTTCTGGAAACAGTTCTTAAACTATATAATCTACCCGAAGACAGCAAAGGTGAAATAAGCGGATAAAAACAATAACAATTACAACAAGTGTTAGAAATATATATATATACAAACGTACTCGTGAAACAATGGTCGCACTACAGTGTTTCCACTGACGTGAGCGTGGTAGAACAAGGTGTACAGGTAGGGCAGCAGGTCATATCTCAGATCCAGAGCTATTTTGGAAGCTTTAGCCACCTCGTCATGTATTCCAGGATCTTGATCCTTCATGATGTTTTAAAAAGAAACAGTCGAATAATACAATCTATGAAATTTCATAAACACTAACGAATGTTATGATATTTCTAAAACATTTATTGATATAAATTGAACTTTATACACGTAGAAGAAGCATAACGTAATGTCACTTGCTATCTCGTGCAGTAAACATGCTCCCATTTTATGCCCATATTTGTAAACACTGATGTTTACATACATTCATCATTGAATGATTTCGTAGCCCAAAAAAACTATAAAGTGTAATTTATTACCAGATTTTACCCAGTGCCCGGTTTTCTCTACATTTGAATTAGGAAAACTTCTTGTTAGGACTAAGAAATAACAAAATTCAAGAAGTAATATCACCATACAATACATGTGAAAAGGATTTGGAATACAGAGTTTTACACGCAAACTGCAATTGTAAACACTGTAACAATTATTTTTGTATGTTATTTACAGTTAAAACAGTGTCTTGGAATAAAAAAAAAACGTGACCTGGGTGTGGCCTAGTAGTTAGTTTTCGAATTGTTGATAGAAAGGTCTGTATTTAAGACGTGATGGCACTAAACGCGCCCCCACACTTTCAGAGATCGTTATAAATGTGGCAGCCTATCCTGTTATTTGGCTTAAAAAAAAACGGTCACAGCGCTTGTGACAGCAAGTAATGCCTCGTGCCTGAACTCTAGTTGTCTCTGACCTGGTCGTTTAGCCCACGTGGGGTTAGAGCGGTTTAATTCTAAAAAAGCACAAATGTAATGAGTTGACAATGTATAAAGAAATATATACGAACATGCTTCCATGAAGTTTATAAAAAGTAGACTGTTTAAAAGCAATGTTCACTCGCACGAGTTTGGTAGTACGTGGTATAAGTTATTATTTAAACCAGACATGTATGTAAAAGACCACCTTTCGTAATCATTACCCAGCTAGGATATCATTAGACATTTTATACTTCAAACCTAATTCATACAAGTTTGTTTAAAGTATACAATATTTAGGGTTAAAAGCGACAGAAAATAAATTTAGAAGTAACAAATTACAAACGTATTTTTTTCTCACTAATAACACCGACTTGCTTTCTGATTTTTACCAGTTGAAAATATTAATGCAGTTGATAGCATATGTAGTCAAAGTCAACACAGTTTTGAGATAAAGTATTAAATAATTTGATTTAAAATATTTGTAACAGTATAAAGTTTGTAGATGATAAAGTTTTGCACGTTACTGAAAGATCACTAAATGTTGTCCCCCCGGTGAGACAGGGATAAGTCTACGGATTTACAATGCTAAAATCCGAGGTTCGATGCTCCCCGGTAAACACAGCAGCCAGATTAATGTGGTTATGCTCAATACCTTTTCACCTTTGCCGTTATGGTTCCGTGCAAATGGATAAAATGCACCTAGTTGCATCCATCGCATACATAATTCTGGAGTTGCTGAGCCAAAAAATCCACAAATATCAGCACCAACCTGCAGACAGAAGGAATTCAAATAAAGTGTTCAGATTTAAATATATACGCAAACGAAAGTTAAATAAATGACTAAATAAAAGTCTTACGAATATTGTATACATCTATAACACGTAAGTATTAGGACTAAAACCCTCGTATATAGGGAGATAGTGTGTATGGAAGATATCACTGAAGAAGATACATTTATAATGTAATGTTGGAGATAGTGTGTATGGAAGATATCACTGAAGAAGATACATTTATAATGTAATGTTGGAGATAGTGTGTATGGAAGATATCACTGAAGAAGATACATTTATTATGTAATGTTGGAGATAGTGCGTATGGAAGATATCACTGAAGAAGATACATTTATTATGTAATGTTGGAGATAGTGCGTATGGAAGATATCACTGAAGAAGATACATTTATAATGTAATGTTGGAGATAGTGTGTATGGAAGATATCACTGAAGAAGATACATTTATAATGTAATGTTGGAGATAGTGTGTATGGAAGATATCACTGAAGAAGATACATTTATAATGTAATGTTAGAGATAGTGTGTATGGAATTCCAGAGGTTATTTTAAAGAACTGTTAGAAACAATATTTAGGAGATTGTGTTGAAAACAGAGTCTAAGGAACAAATCTAGGAGTTACTGTTGGATGTTTTAGGAAGTGTCGTTGGAACAGACACTAAAAATACATTGTTGATTGTTTTAGATGATATTGATAACATTACAATTATATTATACCTACACCCATAACGATATGTAGAATATATTGTTTAGTAGGTAGTGTTAAAACAGTATTGATAGAGATGAATCTTTTGCTAATCAGTCTTCATACCTCACTGTTATTGTATTTTATCAACACTCAGTCTAGTTTCTCTTGACCGTTTTTCTTTTTTAAAACAATACATCTATAACTTCTTTACATCTAACATTCTGTTTCCGGTAGTATTGCACCGGAAATGGAAACACTTATAACAATATATTGAAAGTTACTCAAAACACTTCCGGATTTCTATGGTGGTCAGCATGACGTCACTCAAACTTCACTTCACCTTATACTTTATACGGTTATTCCTAGTTTATCCCTGAAGAAGAACTCGGGTTATAGTATATCGTATTTCTGTATTAAACTGATTTCTTGAACCTACGTGTTTTCTTAGCATCATGATTATAAATAATTAATATATCAATATTTTTAAACTAATATATTAAGGATATGTTCGTTAGAAGAAAAAAACTAATTAAACTATCTCTCAAGTTCATCTAAAAATACTTTGTCGAGTCGTTTCCAGTATCTCTGTTATAACACCATTCTCAGGTGTACTTTCCAAAGATGAGCTTTCAAAAACCTTCTGAACACGTTTTAAAACAAAATGTCTTCTCTAACACTACCTTTTAAACATGAACTGAGAACCACCATAACAATAAATAAATAATTACTATTAAGAAGATCAGGGGTAAAAATTGGGAGTTCCACTACATGAACAAAAAAAAACAACTAATGATCAGAAATCACTGATTCCAGGATATACATTTTTTTCCATGAGGTTCAACAATATTTGAGGCTTCAATCCAATTATAGAATATCGCATGTTTGTGTTTAAATGTTTATAAAATATTGTAAACACGAGTGTTATTATTATTATCTCATAAAAACCATCTGGACACGTTGTTTCATTGTTATAGGACATTTAGTTTTTCAGTTTCTATGTAACATCGAAATACAAGTTTTAATTTTTGGTAGTTTCCTAAGGATTTCTGGGACTAATTCAACAGTGTGTTTGTGAGACGTTACTTTCCTAATAGATATAACGCCTAAATTAATTAATTTTTTTCAGGTTTTGGTATGATAACAATACTTGGGGGATAGATAGACAGTTCTTGTGGGGTCCAGCTCTTCTCATTGCTCCGGTGTTAGAAAAGGTAACGATTTTTCTAGTTTGTACGTTTACAAGATGAAAACTATCGCGTACTTACGTGTTTGATATCGTAATACCGTACATTTCTGTAGTTATAGGTATTACATGTTTGGTCGTGCGTATACTACATGTTTACTTATCCTCTGGCCCGGCATGGCCAGGTGGTTAGGGAGGTCGACTCGCAATCTGCGGGTCGCGGGTTCGAATCCCCCATCACACCAAACATGCTCGCCCTTTCAGCCATGGGGGGCGTTATAATGT